CCTGCCCAGGGCAGGGGGTCAGACTCGATGATCTAATAAATCCCTTCTGACCCTAAAATCTATGAAATCTATGAAATATGGACCTGAACAATCTCTTCACCAGGCACTGACATCAGCAGGAGCTGCAGCACTCATCACCAGGATGTTTTTAATCAAATATTTGCAAAATACAGCTACGACATAGAAGACAGAATTCTGAACTAATACTAGTTGGCTGTTGTTCTGCTCAGAGGCCCATGAGAAATTATTTTGATGCTACTAGAGAAGAGAATGTTAAATACTAAGGCCACAGCCAGTCAAACATTTTGCTGACAAATGTGCAGCTCCCCAGTCCAACTCATGGCAGTTCAGAAGACTGACAGACTTTCGCTATTGGGTTGGAAGGGTGGGGGAAATTGAGCTCTGCTTTGGAGCTGCATCTGAGAAGCAGTATGTCTGCAGCTTCTCTCACACTTCGGAGCACCTTCTTCTGAACCCTCATATCATGATGGTTAATTTGTCATGGGATCAGGGATTTTTAAAGTATCCTGCAGCCATGCACTTCTGTAAGGACATGGCTGTAGAGCACTTTCAAGGGGCTGATCACACAACAAATGTAACCTCTGTCTTAGCCTTTAAAGTGCTACAAATCCCTGAGTGCTTAAAATCCACTGCTATACAGATATATGGTCCTTCCACCCCAACCTACCGAAGCATTACAAAATGGCCATAAAGACAAACAGCAGTACTGATCTTCATGATAGGAATCTATGCATGCCTCTTGGCCTATGGTTCCAAGAGGTCCCCAAAACAGCTGAGGCACACAGGAGAGTGCTCATGGGCCAGCAGGATCATCCCTATCATCCCTCCTGGAGCATACAAACATTTTAGGAAGTGCTTCAAAAAGAAGCAATTCAAAGATTCCTCATTTTTAGGGGGTATTTTTGAAGTGCTTTGGCTACTTTTGAAGTGCTACTTTGGCCATGCACATGTGTTCCCCTGCTATTTGGCACTCTTAATAGGCATGCTTGTCCAGGGCCTAAATCTGGCCTGCCACACTGGTTTCTCTTTTTTAAATAATACTAATTTGACTTGATCCTCAGAAGTACGACGTACCCACAACTCCTGCTTCAAGGCAAGATGAGGGGTCGATGCTACATAAATATGAAAATCAGGCCAATTTTACATATTTTCAACGGCCAGATATGAAACCCAGCATAGCCAATGGAAGACTCTCTTGACTTTAGTTGGCTTTGAATCTGAACCATAACACAAACATTCCCATATTTTAGCAAGCAGGCTACATTAATTGAGACGTTTCTGCATAAAGGAAGCAGAAAGGTAGCAAACACTTCAAATGTTTCCAGTTTATTTTCAAACACAAAGCATTTTAATACATAGTAGACTATAGCAATATGCCTATTTATGGTGAAGAATTGAGACAGTCAGTGGAACTACTTGTCCAGTTAGGTGGTACTTAATTTAGAGTAAGGAGTGCAAAATCTTGGCTTCAGGTTGCTAACACAATTTCCCCATGCACATGAAATGCATCTATAGCTGATTATGACCTATTCGTGTAAGAAGTTACTGAGCCTTCATCACAAGTAGCAAGGAAGGAGCTGTTGTCCATTGGATGACATGTGGGGCTGGGATTCAAAAGGTCTGGAGAGAAATCCTGTCTGTCTCTAAAAGTCAATGGAAGCATCACCATCAATGTGAGGACAAAATTTAACTCTGGTTCCAGTCTGTCTCTGCCACTGAGTTGCTGTTTGAATTGGGCAAGACAAACTCTCTGTAAAAGCACTCTATGCTGTGTAAGGATAAAGTACAACTTTATTCAAACAATGGGCCTTTTTGTATAGTCAAAGGTTTTCAGAATCTAGCCACATTCTCTTTTACAAAATGGCTGATGCAGTAGGTTTCACATGGATCACTTTGAACAGGTGAAGTCAGCCTGAAAGCCAAAATTTAAAAATGTCTCAATAGCAAAGAAATCATAGACAAATAGGGTTGGAAGGGCCCTCCGGAGGTCATCCAGTACAAACCACTACCTGAAGCAGGATCATCCCTATCCAAACCATTCTATACAATCCATAATTTAAACTCTTTGTAAAACGGCTGTCAATTCTGACATAGCACAAGACATAATACCTTAACCTGCCACAGCAGCCAACATCCTGCTTTTATAAAAGGTTGTGAATATATGCTCAAGAGATCACATAGGTAGAGGGCATTGGCAACGCATAGGGGGTGCACAGAGATGCATGTGCACCCCCTGAGCTTGGTGGCGCACCCCCCTGAGCTTGGTGGTGTACCCCCTGCAAAAAGTGCTGCCAATGCTGCCGGTGGCGCCTGCTGGCAGTCACCTCTCACCATCCCTCCTTCCCCTCACTGCTGACATTGCCAGTGGCATCTGCGGGCAGTCCCTGCTCACCACTGGCTGCTGCTGATGCTGCCAGCGGCATCTGAGGGTGGTTGCCGACCGCTGGTTGGTGCTCGCCATCCCCTCCCCTCCTCCCCTGCCGCTGCCATCACACCTCTGCTGCCGCCACCTGCAGGCGGTTGCCATGCACCCCCAGCCTCCGGGGGCACACAGCATTTATAGTAGAGGGACTTCTTTTCTCTATTTCTACTTAAAATATTGGGAAAGTAAGGTATTATCCTTCCAACAGGCATTTCCCCCTCTTCTCTGACATGCTGCTTTTATTTTCTGGAACATCCTTTGGGATGTGGGTCTATTAATTTCACTATATCTCATTTTCTCACATCAAGGAACCAAGTGGCATACATTTCATTACACCAGAAATGCAAAAGGATAACATATTACATTTTCTAAATGGTCCAGCTAGGGGTTTTTTGTGTTAACAAGGCACAGACACCACCTGCAGGCGACTGTACGAATTCATATAAGGGAGCAGAAAACAGATGGGGAATGTGCAGCTGCTATTTTGCCCTAAGTTCACTGCTTTTTTATTAATGAAGTATCATCAGCTCCCACAACAGGCCTAGTTTTTGAAACTGTATTCAAAGAGACATACATTGTGCTACTGCACCTAACATTACTAATTAAAACAGTTTAATTAGCTTTCTTTCTCATTTTGCTCATTTCCTGACAAAACATCTAGCTGCAACCCAGGGTCATCTGCAGTCAAACTTTAGGAGGCAGAACTAATATAACGACAGAAATAACAAAAGAAGAAAATGTGTTAAGCTTCTAGAACTGAGCATTAATATTATCCAGAGAATACCAAGCATATGATTAGAGTGGTCATTACAGTTTCCTAACAATAGTATAATAGCAACATCTTACAAGGCACTCACAAAGCACATCTTACAAGGCACTTTAAAGGTACCTTTCTTATAAAATCATGCTATTTTAGTAGCTATTTACAGCTATTGATATCTGCATTCTAAAGCCACATTGGCCTGTTGAAAATAAAGTTTAAAAAAATCAAAAGCAATTTAAACTGAGAGAACGTTTCTGACTAAAAACATTGTCCTTCCTTCCTTCAGTCCTTCTAGGATGTATTCAAAAACGAATGATTCCAATGTTTTGATAAGGCACTGAAATCTTTCACGAGACTGTAAAATGTAAGCATCTGTCTTCTGACTCCAGCTGA